CTTCACCTTGTAAGACTCCCCTACTTACATTTCGTCGATCACGTGCATTGTCCCATTCCGTTTCAATCACTCTGACGCACAGAAGACTGAAAATGAGGTGTTTGAGGTTTGATTCAACCCTCAGACCGTTCAGAGCAGTTACGACTGCATGCGCCAGGATGTTAGTGAAAGCTCTCTCAACTCCAAGGAAGGTCCCAACAGTGAATTTTTGRCTTCCTCAAGACATATTACGATAGTGTGCAGAGCAGTATCTACTGATCAGCCTTTACAATTAGCATACTGCTCTCCTGATAAATGATCCGTCGAAATGCGGCTCCTTATGTACCAATCCATCAGTATCTCCAGAGTTTTTAGTAAGAAGGAGAAGAGGMTGATGGGCCTGAAGTCCTTGTCCCTTACCGGCCTTCGGGATGAACGTAACTCTGACAYGTCTACAGTCCGCCGAGATGTAGCCCAGTCTTATCATCAAGGAGTATCCGAAGCGTGTTTTCACTTCTTAGGCGCCACTTCTCATATGCATCCTTAAGATAAAATCGGGGTTCTTCTCGATAATACGCCTGTACTTAGGACTTTTGAAATCACTTCATTTTTTCGCAGAAGCTTTTTCATGGAAAGTTGGATTATTCATTGGCGTGCTTGAGTTGACTTCAACCTGCTTCTGGAGAAAATAATTAGAGCTGCAGAACTAAATAGAGAAGGTACAAGCTTCTATAAGAGTGTACAGCTGCTGGCGTATGCCGATGATATTTATAAATGACTCTGGCAGTACGAGGGCAAGACGAAATATCTCCTGTCATCAAACAAACAATCGCCGCACTCGCGACTAAACTCTCACGTTGACAGTCATAACTTTGAAGTCGTAGATAATTTTGTCTATCTTGAAACCAGCGTAAACACCACCAACAATGTCAACCTGGAAATCCAACGTAGGANTTTCTAGTAATAGAACACCAGAGCATTCGGGAGCACCAACAGACTTCTCTGAAGAAGGCTGCACTCTCGAGTAGTAAATCTACTGCTTTCTTAATGGCGGTAACCTCGGCTTGGAAAACGCTGTAATAGTAAGGAAGTCTGAACTGGAGTTGTTAGAGAGCTCCTGATAGTAAACCCTTCCATCAACGGTCTCCTAAAGATTTAATCTATCCATAAGGAAGTTCCTCTTCTCCAATGGCGTGTTCCCACCGACAAGTCCCTCGCCGGTATATGGGCAGAGAAGGAGCTGCCTGAGTTCGGTTTGGCGAATCCATGATCCAAGTTATTCGGTATGAGGTCAAAGTATGTGAAGATTTCCGAGTGTTCAGACATATGCACTTTTAGGAACCCAGATTTTCTAAGCCTGATAGTACCTTTGGCAGCCATACACTTTTCGACGATGTGCACGGGCTTTATATGCGTGGGCGTGGGCGTTAAGGGCATGGTTGAAGTGGACCTTGCTACAAGGCACATGCTGATAAGCGCCGCCCCTTGAACGCTCTCGAGTTTTCTATGCAAGTGTGGTCTTTTCCAGAGCCCTCCACCACATAAGGTGACCATAGAACATAACTCCTTTTCCAATGACAATTGATGCCTTTTTTTGCTCTCTCGTCGATATTCGGCTTCCATGAGATCTTCCTATCCAGGATGCTAGATATACCCCATWTGTGGTAGCGGTGCCATCGGGATCTTGTATTTTTTAGTATGTAAAGTCATCTCGGTTTTATTTGGATTGATGGCGAGACCACTTCAGACTGCCCAATTTGTTACGACGCTGAGATACCCTTACGTCAACTCGTACACGGTACTCAGGAACTTTTTGATCATAAGTGCTACAACGTCCGCATAAACAATCACGCGGTAGCCACGATCCTCAATTTTTTTTAAGCAGGTCGACCAGGATCCATAGAAAAGGAGAGAGAACTTCACCTTGTAAGACTCCCCTACTTACATTTCGTCGATCACGTGCATTGTCCCATTCCGTTTCAATCACTCTGACGCACAGAAGACTGAAAATG